ATCGCGTTATGTTTTTGATCCGAGTGGTGGCCATTATTCTCGGTGGAGTTTACGCGGTTATGAGGTGATATTGCGTGGACATCGCTTTGAAAGAATATGCAAAGACCAGAATTGTTATGCGAGTGGGGTCAAGATCAGCCAACTTATGGCACAGCCACGTGCCGCACGCGCTCTCTTTGAATAATTTATCGACAAAACTGAAATGTTACGTTTGGCACGTTGATATTTATTATATTCTCTTTAGAAGAACGATTCACGCGGGACGAGTTCCTGTCCACCCGATTCTTTCCAAAATGCAGCACAAAGGTAAAATCGTGATCCCCGAAGGGCTGAGCCAAGAACCACAGCAAATACAAATTTTTCCAAATCCTTCAATTTCTGCTGCTACACTTTTTTCAAAGATTGTAACTTTAAAGTTTATATTCGCATTTTAGTTTATATTTATTTTATATTTAATTTTATACTTATTTATTTTACGTTTATATTTATATCTAGTTTATATTTATTATACCAGTTAGTCTCATAGATATAGAGGTTTAGCTCAAATGAGGTTTAGGTTAGGTTTCCAAAGCTCAAACGAGATTAGATTGAGATTTTCAAAGCTTAAATGAAGTTAGGTTTAGATTTCCAAAGCTCAAACGAGATTAGGTTTAGGTTAGGTTGAGATTTGCAAAGCTTGAATGAGGTTAGGTTTAGGTTTCCAAAGCTCAAACGAGATTAGGTTTAGGTTAGGTTGAGATCTTCAAAGCTTAAATGGTTAAGTTTAGGTTAGGTTTAGATTTCCAAAGCTCAAACGAGATTAGCTTTAGGTTAGGTTGAGATTTGCAAAGCTTGAATGAGGTTAGGTTTAGGTTTCCAAAGCTCAAACGAGATTAGGTTTAGGTTAGGTTGAGATCTTCAAAGCTTGAATGAGGTTGGGTTTAGGTTTCCAAAGCTCAAATGAGGTTATGCTTAGATTAGATTGAGATTTACAAAGCTTGAATAAAAAAAAAAAATAAAAGAAAATCGTGATATCGTGTAACAATCTAAGAGATTGATAATAATTCGAGAGTTAATAGTGATGATGATAATAATCAACCATTAGAACAATCATTGTGTAAAATCTTGCAAGTTCTTATTAACTTACGTGCTGCAAATAATTCGGGGTGGTAAACTTTTGGAATCGAGCCATACGTTTCCGATGAATTGGCGGAAAAAATATGTCCCGCGGCGATGCATTTGCTCGTCGCTGTGACATACTTGTTTTTGCTTTTCTCCTTTTTTTTTTTATTCTTCGATAAACCAGGCAAGCAGTTATCCAACTAACCGAGGATCACTTGTTTTTCTTTTGAGCTGCTGCCTCTATCAATTAACCAAAGCTTTCTCACACGAGTGAAAAATAAATAATTCATACGAGTGTTCGTCGCGAGTTAATCGACGAATTAATTAAGAAGAGAAGACGAAGAAGAAATTTCTGATACATGTCACGTCGGGCACAAAGCTCGAATTCATTAAGGCGGAATCGATAGATGTACCATAGCCTAATTCATTTCGGTAGAGAAATATACCGAATACAGAAGAAGAGCATTGTAACTGTACCAGTGACAATGAAAAATTGTCGACAATTTAAATTGAATATAATTTTGTAAAAAAAAAAACGAGATCCACTTGATCTCGTTTTAAAGCGTGAAGTACTTGACACTCGTGAATGTTCTTCTTTTCAAACATGATTTTACATCAGGCAGCGAATGGGTAGAGAATCGAGGGCACATTCTTCTCTTTCATAAAATTCAAAGATCGAAATATTTCTTTACGAGCTGTACGATTTTTCGTTTCTTTTCCTTTCCATTTTATCGAATTTGCAGCGTTAGACGACGAATGTGGATTTTCGAATTTCGAATGAAACGCGAAAGGGAAAATTGTGGAGCAACTTTTAAAGAATCATTGCGAAGATGGAACTTCGATCTTCGAGGAATTTCTAATATTTCCACGCACGTTTGAATTTTTCACGATTCTCGAGAGACATGCGCCCCGTCCGACGTATAAAATTATCCTCGAAAGAGACGAACTCTTTGCTCTTTGAAACGAGATCAAGTGGAAAAAAAAAAGTCGTATATCACTTACAAAAATCATTCGTAATTTTTCATTGTTATTTATCATTGCAATTACGCGGAGACACAGATCGGCAAGGGGGGGGGGGAAATATCGAGATCGAGAACGAATATCACACGCTGTGAATGCGAGTCCGTGTTGTTGTTTAATTATAATAATTCCTTGCACGTTTGTAAACTTATCGCGACGCAATGATCGAAATTAAAATAGAAGGTCGGGAGACCAGTGTCGTTCATCGCGTCGTCGAGTGGAGGGGAGAAAAGAGTGGAGAGAGGAGTGGGGGAAGTAGAGAGAAAGGAGGGGGGGGGCAAGAAAAAGGATAAAGACGATTCGCGAAGCGAAATACCTCTTCGAGACAATATTTTTTTCAACCCGATATCATTATTTACTGTCTCGCCTTTACTCGTTCAGTGCTTGAAACCTAATTGCGTTAAATGTACTGCAGCTGTGCCCCTAAAAGGAGCGTCTGCTGCGCGTTTCCGGGTGGGTTTCTGCTTAATTGCCTAAAAACTGCGCGACGATCGAGTTCGTGTCCGGGCACTTTGCTTCGCTGCACGATCGAGTTCGAGTATTTTTCCTCTGATTAAAGTACTCTGACGATCGCACGCGATACTATTAAATGTAAATAAGATGGGAGAGCCGATAGTGTGAAATAATATCTTCACTCGTTGTTGCTCGTATGGAGGACCTGCTGCTCGATTTTCCTGTCGATTTAGCTTGTTGGCTCGGATTCTAAAACGTTCTGTTTCTACGATAAATAAAAAAAATCGCGTGGTTCGAATTGACGAAAGTATAGAACTTTTGGCAGAGAAATGAAAGTGCAAGGAAAACAGGGGAAAATTTGGAACACGCAGTGCCAAAAGTTTCTATCCAACTATTTGTTTCCTCTTCTTCTTTTCTCTTTAAAGCGAAATATACGAAAAAGCTAATTTTACGGATTTTAAATTAAATTTGAACATTTTTGAACGGATTTATTTTGGTAGCAAGTGATCTTTGGCCCGCCCTGTACAACAGTGATGGAACGCAAAATTCCATTTACATATTTCATTTTTACCAAATGTTCATTCGCGTATATAAAATTCCTACGGAAAATTATGAATTGGACACTTTGATCAATTTTGTAGTTCTAGTGTCAAGGACATTTCGCAGGAATACTTTTTATAAGATTTGTTCTTTCTGGAGTTTTCAAAATATAACCAGATACTATATATATAATAACCACCATATGTATAACTACTATATATATAATATATATAATAACTACTATATATATAATATATAATATATATAATAACCAGATACTATATATATATAACTACTATATATATAATAACCAGATACTATATATATATAACTATTATATATATAATAACCAGATACTATATATATAATGTATATATATAACTACTATATATATAATCACTATATATATAACTACTATATATAATAAATACTATATATAATATATATATAATAACTACTATATATATAATGTATATAATAATTACTGTATATAATATATATATAATAACTACTATATATATAATGTATATAATAACTACTATATATAATATATATAACTACTATATATAATATATAT